GTTATGCTGAAAGTTATCTGCCACTACTGGGGAATCTGGCAGAATGAAGAAACAAGAATTCTTTCTGTGAAAAGTAATAAAACTATGAGCAAAACTGTAGGAACAGGAGAAACAGACTTTGACTGTGCAGAGTAGGAATTTATTCCTTTGGCTCTATTGTTCACTATTGCAGACTGGTTCTAATTGGCAGGGTAAGGAAAGCTGGGAACTGTAAAGACACTGCTCAGGCTCTGCAAGACAATGGCCAAATTAGAGACCCAGTGCATAAGAGGAGAATAATTTAAAATTCTCAATCTTGGAAATCAAACTCAGTTCTTGTGAGTTATAAATCATAGGAAACTGTGGAAATTCTGGAAATTGTACTGAGCTCGCTTTTATTGGAATGTCCAGTAAATAGCTTAATGGTGACGCTGACCTCTAACATCAGTGCCAGTGTTGCTTTTCCTTAAATTGCCTTCCTGACAACAGTGATTAAAAATATTCTTCATCCCATTCAGCCACCCCACTGTCACTTTATTCCTCCTCATCTATGAAAGCTGGCACTTGGTATGCTATCTGTTTGGATTTATTTTCAACTCTTGCAGATAGCAGTAAATTAAAGTGTCACACTCTTCCCCATATCCATCTGTGATGACAGGACTATGTACTTTGAGGAATCGGGAGGTAAATGTAAGAAACACTGATCCAGATTTACTTTTCCCCAAAACAATTTCCCCCCCCTTGCAAATAATGTTGCAAGAGATGAATAAAAATCTGGGGGGCATGGTTCTGCTTTCACTCCTTGTTGTGAGCAAGAGGAAGAGAGGTTCAGAATTATTTACTGGCAGCCATCTAAAACTTTTTCTCCTGAATAACTTGTTGCTGATGTGAGACTGGAACACTGAATATTTCCAGTTTCCATGTGCTCAAAAGTGATATAGTGTAGAGATCATGTATTTAACACAGTAACATGAAACATGGCATGTTTCATTGAATCTGAGAACTTATTACTGGTCAGTGCTCTAAGCACAACTGTTGCTACCTGGCACAGCTAGCCAAAAGTTGTCAGAGGACTCAGCAACTGGTGAATTAGTGCACAAGGAAAGCTGTGACTTAAGTTATGGTTCTTACTAAACTTGCATTTGCTCTGTCCTGCAGTCAGTATTATTTGTATAGGAAACTTATAGTTTTATACTAGTGTGTCTGAAGTCAAAATTCAAATTACAGTGAGATTCTTGTCATTATAAACACTTGTAATCCCAATTAATTTAACTAAATTGCACCAGGTAATACCAACCGATGACCATTAATGAAACTGCTGAATGCTTTAGGAAGGATGTCTTTGCTTTTTGATGTTTTTGTTTTGTTTGGGGTTTTTTTTGTAGTTGAAGTTATTGAAAACTATAGATAGAACTTTTATGAATGTAAAGGACTATTTCCTTAATTAAAAAATTACATATTTTGCTCTGAATGAAAAATTAGATGTCAAATATTGCTCCTTTCTAAATTGCCAGCATTTCATCTACTGACTGCAATTATGAGAGTCACTACAAATGACTCAGGTAGGAGTCACTTTAAAGGCATATGGAGATTCTTCAGAACTTACTTTTTTTTGTTGAGACTTCAGTCTTCGCTCAAAAGCCTTTTAGTACTACAACTTCACCCAGTATCTTCACTGTTCAAGGTGTTCATAGGTCTATCAGGATTATCTTTGTCTTGGCACTTGCAACAAAGATTCTATGTATACTTTGTTTCTCAGTGTATATAGTGACTATTCCTATTTTCTCACATTTGCCGCATCTTCTTGCCTGAGCTTATCCCTTTGCTTGCTTTAATCGTTGACCCTTCTTTCATGCTGCCCTTCTGCCTGGAATAGTTCTGCCTTTAATGTCCAACAGGCAGTCTGTGGTTTCTCTTAAGATATTCCTTGAAAATTGTCCTCTTCAGAGTAGTATTCTCTCTTTACTCAAATACCACAATAATATAAATGCATGCCTTCAATCTCCTTCCTGAGGCAATCTGGAAAAGCTCTGTCTTCATTCAATTGTTGTTTGAAACATGCTTCTCTTTGCCTACAAATTCTGCTCTGCCCGTTAAAGAATAGAAATGAAAGCAAACATTGGAAATCCAGACAATAAACCCCCAAAGCAGAAATGTGGAATTAGGAAGATGAGACCTTGGTGTCCTTGATGGGATTTTTTTCCATCTGATGTATTCAAAATCAGTACTAGTGTCATTCTGTCACTGGCTTACTGTGTGACCATGAAAATGTTGCTTTATCTTGAAATTTTAGGTGCTTATCTTGTGAAGATGGAGGAATATAAAATGCTAGGAGAACTGAGAAAGAGGAGTCTCTGATTTCAGAGTAATTTATGTGTCTGCATTATCCTATTTATGACAGTTTTCCCTTGTGAAAGGCGCACAATCTTACTCTTCCCTAAGTTGTTGCCTTTCTGATTGTTATTATGCTTGCTGCTTCCCCTCATTTTCCTGTGGAGTGAATGCACTGTGTTACTGTAGCGTGTTATGCTTTTACCATGCCATAATTTGAGTCAAAGTAATGTTGCAAAATTATAATGCTGTATTGGCCCAGAAAGGTTTATCAGGATGTTCCAGTGCCCTTCCAGCCTATCTCACTATTTAAAACACCCACCCAGCTGTGGATCCTGGTGGGGAGAAAGAATTTTCCTTGTAGTCTTGAGAGAACCTAGGTGTTAGATACTGTCTGAAAGGAGGTGATTTCACTTGCTGATGGAAATATTAACTGGGCTGCTTTGGGCAGAACACTCTTGTTTTCCTCCTTCGTGCTGCTAGAAATTTTGAAGTTTGAGGTGAAGGAGCATGCCTTCCTGAGCCCCATGGCCTGGTTTGTGTCAAACACCACTGGTACAGCCCATAATCTGTAGGGAGAAATCTGATCAATTTGGAATCGTAGTAGAGGAGCTAACAAGGAACAAGTTAAAATCCTGTATTCCCCCTTGATTTGCTTCTTCTCTTTGGGGCTCAGCCAAAGCCTTTTGAGGTTTGCTCTAGATTGAATGAAACCCTACTGGATGTCACTGATGAGGAATAATGGGATTAAGTGAGCAAAGTTTTGCTTAAATAGTAGGAAAAACCTTTATAACCATGAGATCAACTGGGCCACAGAACTGACTGCCAAGAGGTGTGGTGAAACCTTTTTCACAGGAAATGTTCAAGTGAAGACTTGGACCTCAGCCATTTGCAAAGGTTTGGAGTTATTGGAGTTTGGCCACAGTATGCGGGTGTAGACTCTGATGTGTAAGAATTGCATGAACTTAGACTGTTTCCTTCTCAAGCTCGAAGAATTGCATGAAGATGTGCTGCTCTTCAATCATCTTAGGGCAACACAGAATTTTGATTTTTCTTGTCCTGAATTTGGCTTGGCCCCCACTGCATTCTGCTCCTAGTTCAGCCTTCTAAAATGAGGGATATAAACTTTTGTTACTATCCTTCAACCTGTCTGGATACTGTATCTGATATGGTGTTGCATAGATTCTATCATGGTCCTAAAAGTTTTTGATAAAGTATGGTAGGAATGAAGCTCTGAAGAAAACCAGCAAAACCGTCCTGCTTCTGTAGTGATGACTACTAAAGTTATTCCAACAATATACATGTGCATTGGATTTCAATGTCAAATCTGATAGTAACAGAACTAAATTTTCTCATTTATTTCGCTTGCTTATTTATCTAATTGAAGAGTTGGTTCTGTTGATGAATTAAAACACTTCTTTATAGCATCCTATTGTCACTGTTAGAGATAGGATGCTGGACTGAACTGACCACCAGTCTGGCTCAGCAGGGCATCTCATGTATTTTTATGTAAGACTCATTCCCATTTATAACAAAATACTATTTGGTCATAACATAACTACTGGGACATTGCATGTGGCTGAAGTTCAAATGCCAGGATTAGGCACATGTCCAAATGCCAACTGGGAAATTCAGAAGATGCAAGAAAAAGGAGTTTATGAAATCAAGTTTGTTTAATAGTGAATATACTATGGTCAGATATAAGAACAGCTGTCAGTAGCAGTGTATGATAGGTCAAAATAGTTTTAAAGAAAAACAAGCATGAAGCCAGGAGTTTATTCTTTCCCCTGAAGAATGCGCAGGAGGATATTCCTCCTGTTTCTTGAGACTTATCTTTATGTGTTTCTACAGGACACAAGATAGACCAATGAGACTGATGAGCAAAGGAAAGATTTTGCTATGAATGAACACTTCAGTAGCCAGGGACAAAAGACTGAGTAAAGGAAAATGAACTTCCTTACTCAGCATCATAGCTTCAAAATGTTATTTAGATGGTCTGCTGAGCTGAACACTAAAAAGTTATTTTTGTCTTCGTTCTCCCTTTATGGTCAAAACTTCTCAGGAAGAGTAAAAGGTGTTCTGTCTTTTTTAGTGCAACAGCAAAAAACTAAATGAGTGTGAGGCATTTATTATTAATGCTGGAGTGAGCCTCATACAGTTGAACTGGCAGACCTCATGTGGAATTTGTTACTCTTTCAATAAGGAACACCATCCTTGAAATTATGAACTGATCAGAGAAGATCCTGAAGAGAAGATTAATGGTAATCAGCACAAAGCTAAAAGCAGAGTTGCTTTCATGGCTAATCCGTTTCTGCATATAAACTCTTTGGCAAATACTCAAGTGGAATTAATCCTAAGCAGTCCAAATAAGGCAAAGACTACAAACATTATTTGTCTAGTTGTTTTTCTTCTTTTTCTCCTGCTGTTGATAAGATTATGGTGAAATATCTATATGTATGTAGAGATCAGACCAAGAATGCTAAACACCCCCTGAATGCTAAATTCCCTTGCTAATTGGTTAATAGGGGGCCATACAGCCTTGGGGGAGAACTTACAGCAGCCTTTCAGTGTATTAAGGGAACTTATAAGAAAGACAGAGACAGACTTTTTACCAGGGCCTGTAGTGACAAAGGCTAATGGCTTTAAACTGTTAGAGGCTAGATTTAGATTTGATAAAAGGAAGAGTTGCGATGAGAGCGGTGAAACACTGTGACATGTTGCCCATAGAAGTTATAGATGCTCCATCCCTGGAAGTGTTCAAGGTCAGCCTGGATGGGTTTTAAGGAACCCATCTACATCTTTTCTAGTGGAAAGATGTACCTGAATATTGCAAGAGAGTTGGACTAGATTATCTTTTAAGGTTACTTTCAACCCAAACCATTCAATGAGTCTGTAAGAAAGAAACTGGAGCTTAACTGCACTTTCAGTGGAGATGTGTAAGTCACCTTTGAGCTTTGGAGCTGTATGCACAGGGGATATTCCTGTTATTTGCAAACCCCTGAAAGGAACTTACCAAGAAGTAATAATTGTCTGCTTCATATTAAATGGTTGTAAGTGAAGGAACAAAAAAATCTTCCAAGGTACAGATATAGGCTTTATTCCTCAAAATACACCTTCTCTTTGCATTTATCTCCCGCTGTACATGTAAGTGAAATCTATCCTGCTGAGATCCAAGAAAATAATGAAAATTACTTGAGTGAAGTGAGTAGAATGGATGTATGAATCTGATACTATTTTCTTGTGTGTATCAGTTCCCTGTCATATTGTGGTCTTCCAGTACCTGAAGGGAGCCTAGCAGAAAGATGGAGAGGGACTCTTTACAAGAGCATGTAGTGACAGGACAAGGGGCAATGGCTTCAAACTGAAAGAGAGTAGGTTTATATTAGATATTGGGAAAACATTCTGTACTGTGAGGGTGATGAGGCGCTGGAACAGGTTGCCCAGAGAAGTTGTGGATGCCCCATTCCTGGAAGTGTTTAAGGCCAAGTTGGATGGAGCTCTGAGAAACCTGGTCTAGTGAAAGGTTCCCTGCCTGTGGCAGGGAGCTTGGGACTAGATGATCTTTAAAGTTCCTTCCAACCTAAACGATTCTGTGATTCTATGTTATTCACCATACGGATTTAACTGACTAGTAAGGTCATCATTCTGCTGCTTTCTTAGATCATGTTGGCAAGAACTATAAAGGGCATCTGCTTTTTCTCAAATAATAGCTTGTTTAGAAAAACTTTTTGTTTTAAATTAGGATCAGGTGGACATTTTATTCCCATCGCTATTCTTGATTTGTTTATTGTGAGTGCCCGCAATTTCTAACAATATTCTCTTTAAAAAATTCTTTAAGCAAATATATAGCAAATTAAAAGACTTTGTGCATATCCTATGAACACTATGCACAGTAATTCAAGAAATTAGATTATATCCTCTAATCCATCTTGCTCTTCTGTTTCAGTCATTGCTAAATGAGCTAGACCGAAGCATGGGGCGATACCGAGATGAAGTTAACCTCAAAACTGCCATCATGTCCTTTATCAATGCTGTTCTGAATGCAGGTGCTGGTGAGGTGAGTCATTACCTTGGAAATTCCTTCTAAAATGTTATGCTTGAATTAGTTTACCTTGGAAATGGTTAGTAGATTAAGTCACAAATCTTGTGGTAGTGAGTGGATATAGATTGTGGAAAATAATGCTTAATTGTTAAGATCAGTCTTATAATGTCTTCTGTATTATTTTATTCCCAGCTCCTTCTAATATAACATAGACTACTTACACTGAAACAATTGCTTTGGGTTGTCTTTTGGTTGGAGGTTTCTGTTTTAAATTTTTTTTTAGGAACTGCAAAGCATTTGCCTCTTTATTTCAGCCTTTTAGAAAACATTATGGTTTACCTTCAGAAATGTTTTGAAATGTTATTTTGACTTAAAGCCAAACTCAAAGCATTTTGATTTGAAAGTATCAAAGGGAGACATATCAGGAAAAAAAACTCCAGCTGTTTTTCTTTTATTGACAAGACTTTCCTATGAATCTGGAGGCTAGTTTAAATGGTTTTATTTCATTAAAAGTGTTAGTTTTTGTTGCATTGTTGGGTTTTTTTTAAATCACAACAGACAACAAGCTTCTAAGACCTGTCTGACAATGTCTTTATCTCTATCTCTGGGAGTCCTGTACCATCCCACTGAATAGATGGCAGAAAACTTGCCAGAGTATATGGTGATTTTATGACAAATAAACATAAAAACTAAGTGGAAGACTGCAGTACTGTTCATCTGTAAGCAGGAGGTGAACCTCTAATAGACTAGCAGGACAAATACTAATAACTTCTGCTTGTTATGGAATAACATGGAGTGTGCTGTCCTTATGAGTGCATATACAGAATTCATAGTAGGTAAATGAGGACTGTATTTTTAAGTGAAACAAGGCAAAGGCATTAATTTTCTTTTTACTTACTTTACTGGAGTTAATCATCCTTTGAATTTGGTGTCAGAATAGAGGATATTAAGAAGGGAAGAACTGAGGCTTTAAGTAATTTTTTTAAAATGTGATTAAAAGTTTTTGAAACCAAATGACTTGGTTTCCCCCCACTTTTTAAGGACAATTTGGAGTTCCGATTACATCTACGATATGAGTTTCTAATGCTGGGAATTCAACCTGTCATTGACAAGCTAAGAGGACACGAGAATGCCACACTAGACAGGTAAGACATATATTCTGGGAACAGCTACTGATGAACAGAAAGAGTTCTTAGAAACACTTCTCTACTTAAGGCAGTTGTCGCTGTCTCTTCCTGAAACTGACTCTCTTTAGAAACAAATTAGTTCTGTTCTTAAAATTAACATCAGCAGATGAAGTAGGAAACATGCATACTAAGTTGGCAGTGGCTGTGGCAAGGACTTCTCAACTGCTTTTCTTACCTCAACAAGAGGTGACTTAGCACGAGAGTTACAGAGCATGTCTACCTCTGCCAGTCATTTATTTTGTCCTGTCACTTACCCCCTTGCCTTGCATATCTATCCCAGCACTTCACATAAGAAAGGCTTGCCAATTTCCAAGCATTCTAGGTGGAAATGAGATGTTGCTGCTTCTGTAGCGGCATACTTCGTTTAAGTCTAAATTTTGCAATGAACGTTGGCAGATTTTGTTTGTTTTGTTTTTCTGTTTTCTCTTAGGCACTTAGATTTCTTCGAGATGGTCAGAAATGAAGATGACCTGGAACTTGCCAAGAAGTTTGACCTGGTAAGTTTTTCTCTGGAGTACCTGAACTTGACAAAGCTGAAGTTACGACCACTTTGGATGCTTGGTGCAACTTCCCTTTGCGTTCCCTGAAAATAATGTTTGACTTTGGTGCTGAGAGTGGCTGATGAAACAGTGAAAACGATTACACACAGGGCTTCTGACAAGTATCTTTGATAACACATTCTTTTCTCTTGTTTGGCTGAAAGAAGGAGTGAAGGACGTTCTCAACCCTGCTCTCAGGTTCTCAGTCCTGATGATCCAGATACATTCTAGTTTCAGACATCCTCTTTACAGGAGTGTGGGTGAAGATTGGGCTCTTTCCTGATACTCTTCCCAGTATTACATGAAACTCTTCTAAAAAGTGTCATCTCACAGCCTGTGGAAAGGATCACTATTTTAGAATGGGTGGGTTTTAAAGATGAGCATAAAAAAAGGACAGTCTCCGCAACCTCTAGCATTGGTAAAAGGCTGTAGGGTCCAGAATAGTTATAGTCTCCTTTTTTCCTAATGAACAACTCTTGCCACACACCAATACAGAACAACTATCCCTTTCTTGCTTAGCTTCTACTCTTTGTGCCACCAGTGTTTAGGACACAAATGTTTCGCTGGCTCCAATGTTTTGCTTGTAGCTTTGTGTGTCTCTTACCTTTCTAGCCCTTTACTTTGGGGATCTTTTTGATACTGGAGTAGGGGTGGCAATGGGGGTCTCAAAGACCCAGGTGCCTGCTCCTCACTGGAATCTGCAGCTGGACATGGCAGGCAACTTTTCAGAGGTCTAGTTTCTGAAAATTTGCCTGTCTTTGTACTTTCGCAGTTAGTCAGGCTTTTATAGTGGATGTTTTTTTTCTTCTCTCACTTCAGATCCACATTGATACAAAAAGTGCCTCTCAGATGTTTGAGTTGATCAAGAAGAGATTGAAGCACACAGATGCCTATCCTTATTTGTTATCCATCCTCCAGCACTGCTTACAGATGCCATGTGAGTACATCACAGATTTCCAAAGCAAGAGGTATTGTAGAACTAGGTGTAGGTACAAGTTCACAGATACCAGGACACACACTGCCCTTGTCTTCCATTCAGAACTTGGCTGTGGCTAATGAACTTGGTATCTTACACTGACTCCATCCAGCAGATTTTTGTTGCAATACTTAAGGCAGTATCTTGACCTCTCTGCACTTGAGAATAAAATTAAGTAGCTGAGACATTCCAGTTAGTCACTGACACAGCTTTTAATGATTTTAAATTAGAAGTTTGAAAAAAAGAGTCCTTGTGCTCTAGATCGGGGAATTCCCAGAAATAGATAGCATTTTGAATTCTAAAAAAATGCACTGAGGAATTTTTCTGGTGAAACAAGACAGTACTGAAAGCTGTTCTGTCACTGGGAAATTCCAGAGTAAGTTTTTGGGCTGTTATTTCATGGCATGCATCTGTGAAGAGCTCCTGAACAAAAAGTGAAAAATAATACTGACATTGGTTTTCAAAAGAAGTGATATGAATCTTCTAGTTAACTGTAATAAAATAATTCAGTTATTTTTCTAGAATGTAGCAGCTGAGCAAATGCATAGCAAAATCACGAAAGAACTGCCTGCCTTGAAGGTATCAGGTGTGGTCTTCTCTGTTACTTTCAACTATATTTGAGCAGTCAAACTGAGAAGGGAAGATGAGCAAGATGTACTGTAGTGTGCTTATCAAAAAGTAATGTGGTATGTTCTCAGGGTCTCATTAGATTCAAGGACTGCTATGCTCAAATTCAAGCAGTTCTTTGTCTCAGTGGTCTCTTTGATATTCCTCTTTTAGACAGTACTTGACCTTTATGTATTGACTGGGATTTCTGGTGGCAGAAGAGCTAAATCCTGCTAGGCCAGGACAGGATTGTACTGGAACAGTTTTAAAGAATCTAAAGGTCTAGGTTATGTAACTTAGTGAGCTGAGGTGAACTTTATGGTGCTCTGGCTCTTCTCTTTTGATATCTATGGGATCAGTCCCTTTAGTTCAGTCTCTGTTCTTTATCTCCACAATTTTTGGTCATGTTTGTATGAATTTTTCGTGCCAGTTGATTTTCACTGACCTGCAGATAACCAAGCATGCACATAGAATATCTGATTGTTTTTACAGTGCCTGATCATGATGTAACCTAGGTATCAAAAATTCCCCAGCATCAAGTCCAGCAAACAATGAGTAATGGCTATCACAAAAGAATCCCTTTTATAGATGTTTAAAGTACAGGTTAGAGCTAATCTGTCAAAAGGGTTGCACAGCCTGAATGTGCAGATCAGGTACCAAGTGTCCATGCCTGTTGTGTGCTGATACAATATGTCAGGTGTTTGTAAATAATCCGCTGATGACAGTTCAGGGTTGGCCTTTGTGTTCTGTAATTTATTACAACCAGGATTGAGATGGAAGGTGGAAAGGAAAGAATGCCAGTTTGTTGGCAAGTCTGTGCACTTCAGCATGGAATTAGGAGTTCTCATGGGTTGGTCTTTTTCCATACAGATAAGAGGAATGGAGGAAACTTCCAGCAGTGGCAGCTGTTGGACAGAATACTGCAACAAATTGTTCTTCAGGATGAACGAGGAGATGATCCAGATATAGCTCCACTGGAAAACTTCAATGTCAAAAATATCATTAAAATGTAAGCTGTGTTATTACTGTTTTGTTCTGTTATGCAGATATAAGTACACAGGTGCTTAAGAAATAAAATATCATACGTGAGGAGTTCCTTACTTTTAACTTACAGCTTCTCATTGTCTTGTTAGTCCTCTAAATAGATTCCTTCTAATGACATCTTAGTTTGACGGTATTTTCGAGTTACGTCCTTGCCTTTGACTTCTGCTTTCTATTGAATATTAAGGTGGTTGGAAGAGCAGAAAAATTACTCATGATTTTGTAACAAGGCTTCCTTATTTGCCTTTTTTTCCATTCAGAATGTTCATGAAAGCTTTCCTGGATACTAAAAAAACTCAAATAAAATAATAATGTCATCATCTATATTTAGATCTCATTCCGTACATAGTTTAGAATGATTGCAAATAGTGGAAAACAGCCCTCACCTAGCACACAAAACCTTTTACCTCTTCATAGAATGTTTGCTTGCTCTCACCCACAGACTTGGCTGAGGGCACTACCATTATTTTTTCCCATAGGATGCATCATTTGAGATGTCTAGCTACATGAGCTGGCTCTCATCTCAACTTCCCTGTTCTCAGTCCTTTTTTAGCCAAACTTTTGGACTCTTCATTCCGTCCAACTGCCTCTGCAGGTAATTCATGGCCCATTAGCCTTCTGAATTATCCACTGAAAAGAGCATTTTATGGAACATAAGCCCTATATGAAACCAAATTCTCCTGTACTAAAAATCTTACAGTTTCTCATTACAGGCATGAGCCAAAACAAAAACTGATTTCTCATCATGGAAAAATACACTGGTGTTGATCTCTTTTTGTCTGTTTGGATATCAGACTTCATTATAGATCTTATGCCTGATCTTCCCTTTCTACTTTCATAGCTACTCCTCATTCTGCCTATCTAATCAATCCCCAGCATGCCCTGCATATTTTCTGTCAGTAACAGGAAATAGCTGTGCCAGTATGAGATATGAGAATTGCCTTGTTGCTGATGTATTACCCAATAGATAAGCATCCTTCCCCCTTGTAAGAAAGTAAAAGCAGAAGCACAGAAACTAGAAAAAGTGATGGCAATCTAGTCTCATATTAAGGACAGGGTAATTTGTAACCCATAGCAGCTATGATTGTTTTAGTGATTACTTCTTTCTTTCAATATAAGTAGACTTGACACTTTGAGGGTATTACCTGAAGACAGGAATGTATCAGGATTTTTTCCCTAGGCATTTCTTTATCCTTTTTCATGACTCTGGGTAACAAGCTATCACATTTATATTAACTGTTATCTAAGGATCAGAATCTGGATTCAGACTGACCACTGGTGTGATCTTGTATAAATAGGTACATTCGCCAGGTTGCTTTTTGCTGATCACTACACATAATGCCCACTTGTCTTTCAACCTGTGTAGCTCAGGAAAAATTTACGTGATCCAATTTCATCTTTCAGGCTGGTGAATGAAAATGAAGTCAAGCAGTGGAGGGATCAGGCAGAGAAGTTCCGGAAAGGTGAGTACATCCCCTGTGCTTCTGTAGGCAAAAGAGAAGGCAAGACTGATCCCAATTCATCCACAGAGCAGAGAACAGCAGAGCTGGGCACAACTTTTCCTTTTGTGGGCAAACCCTGCTTTGTTCCCTCCTGTACATTTTGTCTTGTGACAATCAGTTTGTGTTTCATAGGATGGGGTGTTCCCTCAGTCCTCACATGAAGTGATTTTATTGAAAATCAGTCTAACTGAAACTTGGGCATTGCTGTCTTGACCACTGAAGGTCATTGTCAAGATAGTCAGACTCTATTTTCTTCTTCTTACTTTCATTATACATCCCCATCTGAACTGACAGATATGTCAGCTTTGTTTCAGCATAACCTACGTCTCTTCAGGGACTGTTCCTGAGCTTTATTTCATCAGTTCCACTTATGTGTTCCCCCTAGATCATGCTGAGCTGATGAGCAGGCTAGAGAAGAAGGAGCGGGAATGTGAAACAAAGACCCAGGAGAAAGATGAAATGATGAAGACACTGAACAAAATGAAGGACAAACTGCAGAAGGAATCCTTGGAGCTACGCCAGACCCGAGACCAGATGAATGACCTGGTGGCTCAACTTAATGAGTTCTCGGTATGAGACTGGGAGTCTTTCCCATCCTTGTTTAAAGCCTGCTAACTCGTGAATGATGAGCAAAAGCATATTATGCGTGAAACACTTTCTGTGGTCAGTATAGAGAGTACTTAGAAGCTGCTCAGCTTTTAGCTGAGACCAAAATCCATGAGCTGGTGGTACAGAATGGTTAATACATGGGCTGCTCCATGCCTTCTCCATAGCCATCCTCAGTGCAGGAGCTGCTGAGGCATGTGTCCTCCTCCAGCCATAATTTTTACTGCTGGTTGGGGTGGCCCTGGTTGTTATTTCAGTGGAATAGAGAGAAATCTCCCAGATGTGAAAGTATATTTAGTGAAGAAACAGGATTCGTGCCATACTTCAAGAGCATCTGTACTGCCTTGGAGCTCTGCAGAAATGACATTTGCAGTTGCTCCCTCCTGCTTGGTGCTCCTTCTATCCCAGCAGTATGCCTGAGCCCCAACTCACCAGAACACAGCCCTGAGAAGTTAGACCCTGCAGAAAGCAGATTCATTCCCTCCTCCTCTCTCCCACTTTGCATTAGTGGGGCCTAATGACAGGTATTCAGTATTTCAAACCCTTAGATTTTAAACCCAGGAGTTCAAAAGTTCATAAGATTGAACTTTTCTCTTTCTTTTCATACATAAGGAGAAAATAATACAGTTTGGCTTCTTTTACTAGCTTTCTGTTTTTCTGAACCATTTATGGTTCTTTTTTTCAAGCTCTTCTCTGCAACTTCAAGGGCTTGAAACTTTCTCTTAAATGAAAGATGAGATTCCTCCCTTTATTGCATGGCTTTGAGTGCAGGAGGCTTTAAAGAAAACATCAAATATTTTGAGATTCATAATAAAATCACATCAGCTGGCAACATGGAGTTAGTGTGCCTTTTAAACTGTTTGCTTTCTCTTTCTCTGTGTTTTTTATTTTCCAGCAAGGGGGCAGCATTTCCTTCCCAGCCCCACCACCCCCTCCTCCAGGTGACCCATTAGCTTCTCACGTGTCTGAGAGTTTGCCACCGCTGCCACCTCCTCTGCCTTTCTCCAGCTGTCCCCCTCCTCCTGCTCCACCACCTCCTCCAGGAGGACCTCCTCCTCCACCAGGAGCACCACCTTTCTTCAGCATGGGGATGCCACCTCCTTCAACAACCACTTTCAGCACCACTGGCACCAGCCTGAAGAAGAAATCTATCCCGCAGCCTTCACACCCACTGAAATCCTTCAACTGGGCTAAGCTGAGTGAGGTAAGAAACTGCAGCACTCTCAGCATACTTTACTAAGTATACCTCAGTGTTTATTAATGCCATGAAATGCAAAGTGATAGAAGCAAGTTGGTCGTGATTTTCTGTGGGTTGAGGTCAGTAGGAGTCAATAACTGTCTTGAGGGAGTCTTCCCAGTTCTCCAGCAGTGCAGCATAACTCCGGTGATGACCAAGGTGCTGGTTAGATTAAGCTGCAGTAGATCTGGGCATGCTATTGGTTAAGCAAAGCTGTAGTGGGGCTGAATGCATAAGCCAGAGCTGGACATCTCCAGGACTGTGCACCAGGGAAAAGGATGACCAGAGCCAATGTGGGCAAAACATGGTGAGAACCAAAAGCCGCTTCTACTCTGGCAGTAGCTATCACCAAGGAGAAAAAAGTGTCCTGATTCTCCTCACCTGCGCCTCATGACCATGAGGGAAGCTGCCTTTCTCCTTGCATGGTTGGATCTCTGTCTCGTGGTGATAAAACTGAATTGGCAAAAAACCCAGAGGACTTGGATTCTTTCTGTCGCATTCGTTTTCTTCTACCTTGATTGCATCTTTTTTCCCTTCACTTCTGTCTCTTCCTGCTGTCTATCTTTTTTTTTCCTATTTTTTCCCCCTCCCCTTCTCTTTGGGTCTTAGTTTTTGTAACTGATTTAGAAAGAAAAAAAAGTGTCTGTGTTGAGTTTGGATGGCTGCCTAGAAACCCAGGTTCTCTTTTAGAATGAAACTCACCCAGGGCCCAATTCTGGCATTTGGAATGAGTGTCCAGGGACCTCTGGAATGCCACAAGAATTCTCTCTCCCCCTCTCTCCTTTTCTTTAAAATAAAGTGAAGTGAAATATTTGCTGCACTGTCTGTGCTTGTCTGTCAAGGCCACGTGGGGGGTGTGGGAGAGAATGTAAGGACGAGGATTTATTTTCCTTTGCAGAACATGGGACTTAGTGCTCTGAAGAAAAGAAATAATAACTAATATATGTATAGATATGAATGTATATGAAAAAGAGAGTCACAGGTGTTTCTGTTTAGTGTACAGTAACTGCAGGCTTATCCTGCCCTCTGGATAAGAGTGAAGGCAGCTGTGCTAATAAAATTGAAGACCTGGGTGGTGAGGTGGCTAAAAGACACTATTTTGAGGAAGGCAGAATAGTTGGTAAAAGGGGCGTAAGAGGCTGGGGCCTTCATTTTAGGATGCTTGCCAGTGTCAGTGTTTTGGCCTAGGAGGTTTCTGCAAAACAGCAGGAGTTGTGGTGCAGACCCAGGGGTCTTACTTTGTTACTTGGGTTGCACTTTGTTATGGAATTATTTAATTTCAATGACTGGAGGAGCAGATATGTTTTGGTTGTCTTCACCAGTTACCCTAGATTCCCTGCTTCAGTATCAAGCACTTTGTTTCTGTTCACATGGATATGAATCCTCTGAACATATAGTCATGGGTTGGTTGTATGATTTCATCAGGCCTATTGTTACCTTTGTGACACTTCTGTGATGCTCTCCTGAACTGTCAGAGTAGCCAGATTTGAATGAATGAAGACTCACAGAGAAGCACACTTGCTGGGATATGTGCACTTCAGGATTCTGAGCCTGGGAAACTGAGGCTTGGACATGTGAATAGTATTTTTGTGGTTTGTGGTAGTGTTTAACTTCCCATGAATACAATTTTTTCCCACAAAGACATTTTGAGGATCAATACATTTGACACTATGTTTATGTTTCTCTTTTTTAAAAGATCTCCCTAGTTAGCCAAGAGCACAGGCACCATGAAACATGTCAAGGTGAGGGGACAGTGTTGGAAACAGCTGTATATAAACTTAGGGCTTCAACCAGGTCAAATATGCTATTCAGCATAGTGCTTAGAGCATCCTTCTCAAAGCAGTTAATACAGAGTCTCTCTCCTAAGATTTCTCAAGTAAAAGTGAAGATGATGCCTGGGCTGAGGCAGCCCACATAAGAGTGAAGTTCTCCCTGTCCATGCAGCCTGTCTCAGGGAAGTGAGAGAGAGCCAACAGAGGGCAAGAGGAGTGTGTACAGGGCTGGCTGAGAGGGATTTGTCTGCACTATTATTTCTCACTAGTGGAGTCAAGGCTGTTTTCCAGGGCAATTCATATCACACCATTTTTCCTAGCACTGATTCTGTCTTTGAAAGGAAAGAGCTGAGGTGTTGGATGTTAGGAGAAAGATCAAGTACAGTCAAACTCTTAGCACTTGACAATAACAGGTTGTCCAGAGTTCCCATGGGCACAGCAAATAAAAGGTTTGACTGGAAAGTGTCTAACAAGGAAACTCCAACAATCTGCTAATTTCCATTGAGAATTAAGGATGTTGTAATAGCTTTGATGTGAGCTGATGATCAATCAAAACCATTTAGATGCATGGATGGGCTGAGTTCTGATGAAGCCCTTCCACACCACAGCTCCATTCATACAGCACTGTAGCATCGCCTGTGAATTCCATTCATAAAGCACTACAGCAGTGCTGGTGCCAAGGATCTCTGCTTTTTAAGAAAAAGATATTGCAATATAACCACTGTAATATCCTGGAAAGATTCCTTTCTTTGTTTCTGGGCAGCAATGCTCTCTCACTCTGAATTTTACACAGTTAATCAGGGACTCGATGTTAATCAGGGACCAGACATTTGTGGTTAATTCAAACGATGGACTGGTTTCAAGAACACTGGCAGTATGGATTAATAATTACCTATTTAATAAACATATTGATTTGAAGTTCTCAGAGTAAATCAAGTCAACCTTCAACTGCTCTGCTTGTTATCTCATGGCTGGAGAAGCAGCTTCCCATTAGTCAGGCTGGTAATGACTCTTGTTAGTGATCTCACAGAGGGTTTCTTTAGCCAGCCCTAAATAGACCTGGCTGAAATAGTCTCAAAAGAAAGGTGTTTGTTCTACATACCCTACAGGATTTAATAAAACACCCCAAAACACACACACACACAAAACAACCCCTCAAAAAACCAAAACAGCCAATCACATAAACAGAAAATGTTCATTTTGACAGTAATTCTTTATTTAATGTTTCTGTAATGTTATAATTCTGATTTCTGGAACTTTCTTCCTAAAAGCAGCCTGAGGATCATGGCAAACAATGATACAGGACTGCTGCCAGAGATTCAAAATTAATGGAAAGAGTTCTACAAAACCTCAGTGTGAAGCTACTCATAATAGCTGTAGTGGTGCCTAGTCCTACAATGAGATAAAACAGCTGTCTTAATTAACAAACAGGCCAGAAATACAGTTTTGCTCAAAGTGGATTTTTCTTACACTGAGGAAAGGATTTGATATTGAGAGAGAAGTTTGAAAAATGCATGGTGTTCATATCCCCTTTTAAGATCCATAATGGAATTCTGAATGAAAAATGTAAGTTGCTTCCATTTTTATAGTAAATATTCTACAAATGTTGAGCTACTAATAAGCAGGATTACCTGCTCTAGTGTTCACAGGACACCCATCATTTCCATGGTTTCTCTGGACCTGCAAGTCAAAAGGAAGTACTGTAAGTTTTCACTCATGCTGTGAGGTTATTGAGGCATGATGGACTTTGGTGGCTTCCAGAATATCACTATTTATCTTTCAGGGTAAATAAAATCATGTGTTAGATGTAGCAGAGGACAGCTTGATATGATTTGTAGCTCCATGGAACACTGTGATTCTCTAATCATGCTAGGTCTTTCAGCGAACTGGGTTTCATTATAAAGATGGAACGATGTAGCAGCAGCTACAATGAGCAAATTGTTAAATGCAACATACCAAAAACTCAGCTTGATGGAGCAAATGCTTTGTCAATACCTGTTCTGATAATAAGATGTTTCCTTACCTAGCATGTACTACCATTTTGCTAGAGGATGCTGGGAAGTGTAGTTCATAGGATTTGCTTCTCAAAGGGGACCAAGACTTTCCAAAGCAGAGAAACCACAGACACTGGAAGACTTGTAGAATGAAAAAATGAATGAATAAATAAATAAATAAGGATGGAGACAAAAACATGTTACAGATTAAGTGATTGCTCTCTTTTTTTCTAGTTATTTTTTCTTGTTAAGGACAGAGAAAAAAAGGGAAAAGAAGGAATAAAAGAAGGAATAAAGAATTTATTTTTAAATTGTTATTTAGAGGCCATAAATATTTTTTATGGTGCTGAGGGAACCATTTATCATTGCAACCACATTAGGCAAGTCTGTTTCTCTTAGGATGCTTGGTCTTCTCTGGCTGATGACAAGGAACTCTCAGCCAGTTAATCCGTAACTGCATATCAAGAGCTCAGTGTAGGAAATTATCTGGCAGCAACATGAAAGTTTTCAAGGACAGACTTTATGGCAGAAATAGAAGGGACAGCCCCATTCCAAGTGTTTTGTGTAACAAAGGTTGTTTATACCTCTTCCTGCCTTGTTTTTTCTTTGACTGGATTAACCCATTTGGATTTTAAGCACTAAAATGGGATTGCTTCTGTCAAAGTTCTGTTTGTGCATGCCATTGCAATGGCTGTTGCTTGGAATTTGTCTCTCTGCTACAAATAGCATAGAAACCATCCTGTATAGGACCAGATTCAATCTGGGTCTTAAAATAAATCTGAATTGAAATAAGAATAATTTTCACTTTCTTGGGTTGTTTTTCTGGGATAGTATGGGCAAGAAATACTTTGTGCAATCCCTTTGTGAGTCTCAGAATTGCCTGTTCTGGCACTTCTGCAGTCCATTCAGACTAGATTGTTCCATAGGACATTTTCACTGGTCTTGCCATTAGTAAGAAAACTTCGCTCCTATGAGAGTCTTGCAGCCAGACAAGTAGATGGGAAAGACTCTCATGAGTAGGTGTCTCTTGAGCCACATCCAGCCTTTGCCAAAGAGCATGTAGCTTTTTGGCATCCTCGGAGCTCTGTCCCAATGATGATTCTAGGGACTGCTCCTGAAGTCATGTGCACTGGCTCCTGTCAAGAAATATTCTTTCATTTCAGTGTTTGATGGGACAATCTGAAACAGTGAGGCACTCAGAGAACTGCTCTGCTGTTCAAAAACATCCCTCAGGATTTATAATTCAAGGTTTATAAAGCCAGCCTGGAAATTCAGTGAAAATGATCACTCTGCCTGGATGCCTCTGACTTAAGATTGGCAGCAGAGTTCAGGTTTAGGATAAAATGAAAATCAACTTTGTCTCCTATTCTTTTGGCCGAGATGAACCTCCCAAATTTGTTTGCTATGTTACAGTCTCAGGGTCATGACATTCTTCCTGTTATGGAAAGAAGAGCCACACTGATTGCAAGGGATGATAACAGTGATATTGGTGAGCCTGCTCATGGATGCGTGCTGCTCCCATCTAGGGGATGCTCTTACTGTAAATAGTACTGCAGACGTCCCTATTTTCCCTCAGGCACTCACAGGCTGCCTCTGGAGAGAGGGTGTTGGTTTTCCTCCACAGTGTCTGCCCTGCCAGGAATTTCCTCCAGAACACTTCACACTTTTATTTCCCCCTCATTTTATCCTCCCATCAGTTTTTTTTCCTTGCTCCTTGAGCCTTGTGGCTTAGCACATTTCCCTCATTCCTTTGATGACTCTGAATGGGAAGTAGAGCCTGTTCCTAATTAGTTCTGATAATGAAGTGTTAACACACTTTGCTGTGTAGGTACAAGTCAGGTGCCTCAGAGCTGGAGCTTGTGTGAGGGTTTCATTACTATTTCTTGCTGTTCCTGGCTATTTTTGCATCAGTGTTCTTCATCTCCTGGGGTTTGCTGAGGTCTTTTTTACAATCCCTTCTGTCCATTTCTTTTTTCTTTTAATCAACACCTTCCTTATTCTTCCATTTAATAAAGTACAATAAATGTACACCTCATTAACTAAATGAACTGAAAGATAATGGTGTCAGGTGTGAAGAGCAAGCCTTCCTTTTCTGAATGGGTAATTGCTCAAAGCTTGTCCCACACAAATGCACCTAGTCAGTAGGAAGGAGAAGGTAATTCAATCTTTGTCTCCTCTGCCAGCAGGGATATCTGTCCTGAGAATGTCAGTAGGACACCCCAAGGCCCCTAGCTCAGGATGACTGGTGATTACCTAATTCATGTACTACAAGAGCCTATTTGGTCCAGGGTTGGTGGAGAGGAAAGTAGGAGGAGGAGTCTGTCCCTGTCTCCCTCCGTGCCAATCACTTGCCAGACAGCTAACCCTTGGCATTCAGAATACTGTATCATTGCAAGGATTGTGAACATTTCCAGTTAGTATGGATGATGTGGTTGCAGAGATCTGGGTATAGTTTGTGTGTATCTGGGTTGACAAAGACCTCATGTAGGCAAGGAAGTTCATGTAATGGAAGTCAATTAGACTTCAAAGACTCAGCCTTAAAAATAAAATTAAATGCAATAAAATAAAATCTTAAACTACTTTCACAGGCAAGCAGAATGAAAACCATACACCCTTTGGGCTTTGCAACAGAACCTGGTGAAATTTGCAAAGGGGAAGATGTGTCTGGGGTTTATCATGCATCAGTGCGTTTCCTAAGCTTTTTCCTCATGATGGTAACACTTTCAGCATGACCACAATTGTTGGGTGGTCAGAGGCTTGCTGTGATAAAAAATACAAAATAGTATGTTTAAAAACAAAATAACCCACTATTTTTTCCCTTGACTCTTGAAACAAAGTGTGCCTTCTAAAATGACAGCAGTAGTACATAGGAATATGACCAGTGAGCAGAAGAGAATGACCTATCTAAATGGGATTGAATGTTCTTAGCTAAAACTTTTGCTATCTCATTAAAATACGACTTTTTCTTTTAGGAGAGGATCCATGGCACAATCTGGAATGAGATTGATGATTTAAAGGCATTCAAGGTGCTGGATCTAGAAGATTTTGAGAAGATGTTCTCTGCATATCAGAGACACCAGGTAAGGGTGAACTCTTCCATACCTTGGCTTCCTTGAATTTCTGGAGGAGAAAAGAACAGGTGACTGATCAGGGCCCTTGTCCATCTGCAGTCAGGCTGCATCATTTGATGCTCTGCCACTGTTCAAAAACTCACAAGACCAAAAGAAGTGGGGAGGACATACAGGGGAGGGTATAACCTTCTGTTATCAACATACTTCATACTAATGGCAGCTCTCAGAGACAACAGCTCCCAATGGGTAATGCTCTATTTAATCTCTGTAGCCACTGAGCTTTACATTGATACTTGATATCCATCTTTCTATTTCTCCCATTCATCTCGAGAAAAAGACTGTAGTTGCCTGAGTACTAGCAAGGTGACTAAATTAGCTGTCTTCCATTTTGTTTATTTTTTCTTAAACAGCCAACTGACCCAACTGGCTAGGTGACAGAAACTGTCTGAATTACAGATTATAACACAAACAGCATACTTTAAACGCGGCCATTTATTAGAATGTCTTTTTTCCTTCCTCTCTTTCTTGGAAAGCAAGTCACCTTCAATCTTTCTATCTCTGCTGAATAAGATTTAGCAGCTGAGGGATTGTACGTGCACTCACTGGACTCCCCCAGTGTTCCCATCCTTTTGGAATATGTTCAGTCCTTTGTACTCTGCAGAACTGGATCATTGCTCTGAAGTTTTAAGAAAAGACACAGACCTGATTGCCACAAACAGCCTTTATGATTATGCCTTACAGCAATGATGACTACTTCATTAACTTGTTCAGTACCTTAAAATTAACAAGCTAAACCCTTGTCTCTCTTTGATTGTTCTATTTAATCCAATAAATAGTTGTCCAATATTAAATAACTCTTCTGATTTACTAGCTCACACTCACATAGATAAGCATCCCCACTTGAACTGTGTAGAATGTGATGTTATATGTTGCATGATGAGATTTCAATTCTCGTTCTGCTCCTGCAAATAGCTGTTGCTTTTTCAGTGTGTTCCTCTCTCTTTCTGTGAATCCCATTCCTTGAAACAAGATCTTAGTTCACAAAGGGGAATAGTGGCACATGTAACTTCAGTGCTGTTACAAGACTGGATTTAGACCCTGTGCTAACAGCTTAGCTATGGTGGTGAGCTCCCAGTTGTCTCACAAGTAGCCAAACTGTCATCTGTGCACATGAGTAGCCATTGCTGCATCAAGGTTCCATTCCAAAGTTTCAGGTTCAAACATTGCAGCTTCCTTACTAGAAATGGCCTTGCAAAGCTTTGCTTCCTTTCAGCCTCAAAATCCAAAGTCAAAGCTGTCCTGGTCTGATGACTGTGTTAGAAGCATAATATTTATGGCTGTGTTACCAATCACTGAAAAGCAGCCTGACCTATTCAACCATAAACTAAGCTGACCCCTACCCCTCCCTGCCCACTGGAACGGAGTCATCATCTCAACTTCCATGGGTCTCAGAGCAGTACTCTTCCATCCTCATTAAACACTTTATGACAGTGGCTGCAGACATTAGATTATCACTTACGTAAGCTACTTGTATTTTGGTGTAGTTAAATGTATTGCTGCACTTTCAGCTTTTGCTAAGGTTTTTACATTGCTTTGGAAATGGTTTTTTTCCCCTTAAATATCCCATTGTTATTACTTTACATAATACTTTCTTTTTCATTCATATTTGCTCCAGTGTGAACTAGATTCCAATCAACAATTCTTCATCAATTTTCTTTTTCTTTTTTTCTTTTTCTTTTTTCTTCTTCTTTTTCTTAGACCAGGCAACCAAAATTGCTTTTGAATTAAAAGCTTTCAAGATTTTCTCCAGTTCACACAGTCTTTTTTCCTCTTTTACTTTTGGAAATACTCCACTCTGACCAAGTATGTGTTTACCCTGGGATTGTGACTTTTAAACTTCATCCAAATGTCTGTAAAGAAAAATGTCAATGCAAAGCCCTGCTCTTTTGCATCTGAAATACTGAATGAGTGGAGATAAAGACATTTCTTTCTTTGGTGTTATTAACATGAACTTCTGATCTTTTTTCCCAGTTTCATTTACATTAAGCAACTTTTCTTTTTTCTTCATTTTTTTTTTAATGTCGAAGGGTCTCTTCTCCTCTCTTAACCCAGTGTATTGTTTGTGGTGGCTATGAGGGAAAGCAGAATTGTCTGGTGTATAGAATGCTGGACCAAGAACTCTTAACGCTTGTCTTTTGACCTTGCTCCAGTCTTACTGTCTAACATTGACCTTTTGATTCAGTATATCTGGCATTTTCCTGGAGTATGGAATATGTTGTGAAATAGTTGGTGTCTGTCACCTAGTAGTGCTGTAAGGCTTCTTTGGTGGATACAAAGTGCTTTCAAAATACTTGGCTAGAAGTTGTTAAAGGGTATAATGTGCCACTGAAACAAGTTGTTACTTGTTAAACTTGTTAATAACTGCAAACTGTGCCTGTGCATTAGGAGAGGAGAACCGACCATCAAATTTTAACCTTGGCAGTTCTTTCAGTGAGGCTCTGGACTAGATTTGTAAAGGTATTTAAGCATTATCCTAGTTAATATTTCAAGGCCTAAGAGATTTATTCTTTGGAGGCAAAATTTACTATTTTCAGTAAAGACCTAGAACTCTTAGTTCCCCAACATCTGCTTATTTAAAATATGCAAAGAAATGCTGAAATACCTTTGAACTATCTGGGCCAGTATTACTTGCTAAGCATTTTATGCTCTCAGAAAACTGTCTGTGTCTAAATTCAGCTGCCTTGTTAAACTTGGTATCTTTCTCTGTGGCTAATTTTTGGCATGTTTCCTTCTTCATTATTTGTGACTGCTGCCTGCATAGGACCTGCTAACTAACCCCTCCTCCTGTAAGCAGGTGAGTATCATTGTCTGCCTCCTGATCCTCTTGCAGTGTGTGTGAAGTGAAGTCCTGCACCATGCCATTATGGGGGGCATGATTCATCTCCTGCTACTCTTTTATATGCCCTTGCATCCTGCTTTCTGGATGGGGAAGGTAGTACAAAAAATTCCTTTAGCTGTATTAGCTCCCCAACAGGAAGTAGTTCCTGTTCTTTCACTTAGTTATAACCTCACTGTGCTTTCTGCTGATGCCTCTAGTCCCCTTTTTGATGATCCTGAGGAAAAAAGACCGGGGACAAAGAAGAACGTGAACGTGAACTCTTCCTTAACCAAAGTAATAGCCTTTCTAGTGGAGAACCAAAAGAGCTCTCAGGGAGCCTTCATTCCCACACTTCCCATCTGTCGTCTATCTGCTTTGGTCATTACTGAAATCTTCAGATGCATTCACTACCCACAGACTTTCTGATAAGGGAAATATTTTTTTGTGTAGAACTGGAAGGCACTGTGGTTTGGCAGAAGGATTTGTGCCATCTGAAGAGCAGAAGGGTTATAATGGAGGAAATCCTCATTTCAGACTACTGAAACTTTCAGAAAGTTCAGCAAAAGACTAAAATGGTGTTTAGTCAAAGTAGACATGTAGGATTGCCCACAACTTTAAACTGGCTACCTCTCAATTTATTCATCATCATAAGCAAAATTCTTGACAACAGTTTTGGTAAGAGCAGTACTATTGAAAGAGGGTTGTTCAGATACCATCACAAGTGTGTCTGGTGGCTTCAGAAGAAAGTAGTTCTCACTCAGGGAACTGTATTTGGAAAATCTAGTCAGGACTTCTGCCACTGGGGGAGGCTAATACATGGCTCTAGGCCTTTTACTGTCTTTTGCTGTGGCAGCCCACCAAGAAACAAGCCAATATGGTAGAAATAGTTTCCTAAAGTATTGATAATTACTAGAACCTAGGGTGCTGCCATGGCACCAGACCACAGGTTCTTCAGCTAACCAAAAGCAAACTGGTTTTGAAACAGGGCAGCAATATGATGAACTCATTCCACATGTCCAGTCATTCCAGCACTGAATTTTTAGTTGGTTTTTGATTTGCAATTAAAATATCAAATCTGAAATACTTTTTGAAGCACATAACAAAATATTATCCCAGATGGAAAGTTGGTAAAGAATCATGGGATAAAATTTAGGCATCTTGTCTGTCAGGTTGACAGCAGCTCCTGTTGTTCTTGTATTCAAGGCTTGGCCTCTCACAAAAGCTAGTCACTGCTGCCCCCTTGCTCCTCTTTTTCTGTGTCTTGAAAAATGTGGATAGTCCGTATATAATCTGTTTTCCTTCAGCTAAGCTTGGAATCTGGCTTTGGTAGAACCTGAGGCTTCATCTGCTTTTGCTTACACACAACTCCAAGTATCTATAAATATCTCTCTCCTCAGTATGAGTCAAAGAGAATGTATTTTTAGATGAGACTAGCCCACTACTTATGACCGAGGAGTGGGCCGTGTCTGAGTAGTTCAAGTTATTAATCTGTGTTGAATCTTGTGGGCCAGTGAATTGGAAATTGGCATGGAGACTGTTATACCATTCCCTGCTGCATGGTTTTAAGGGAAGCTGACTAAACCCCTACCCCACATACACAGCCAAACCCTGAAACTGGGTTTTTTTCCCCATGGGGTGGGTGCTGGTTATCACTATCCAGGCGTTCTTGACTGCAAACATTAGCTCATGAGGGACAGTAAAGCTTTTAAACTCAGACCATAGACCAACAAGTACCTTTCTGCCTTTCAGCAGTTGCCCATCTCCACATTCCCCATCTTCCTCCCCACAAACTGAGAAAATTTAGAAAAACTTTGAAATCTCTACATGCTAGATTATACTGGGGGTGCTCTGCTTTTTGGTATTGTTAGTTATTCTCTCAGAAATACTAAAATTACCCAATGCCTGTTTTTCCTTTGTTTGGAAACACTATTTGATCTATTGAGTAATGCTGCAATTTTTTTCTGTCAAGCCAGATGCTTTGGGCACATCCAACAGACCTACTTTGGGCATGTCTTCAGCTGGTGCACTGTACCTGCTTATAAATTCCACTTAGTATTGGTGGTGGCTCACTGCAGCACGCTTGGACTTGGCTGTATGAAACCTTTGTATATTCAGGAGCAACACAGATTGATTGTAGCTGACTGTACCAATAACTGAAATGACAACTAGCAGTCTGAATTTATGATTTATGTTGAACACTCAAATACTAGGGTGTCAAAATCTCTTGAAGTGGATGAGTCATGCTGATATAAGTAAGCCTGCAACTGCAGAACCTTGAGTCCTTAGAATGAATTCTGGGAAGCATCATTGTATGCTTGCCATGATTGAACACATTTCCCTGGGCATCTGCTATTGACCACTCTCAGGGACAGGATACTGAGGTAGATGAACCTTTTGATCTGACTCAGTATGCTTGCTGTTCTATCCTAAATAAAAAGTCATGTTGCTTATTTGACAGGTACGTTCAAAGCTTGATCATACTTGTAAATCTCAAAATCTCAAGGCCTGACAATATGGATACCATGGAAGGACATTTTTAAAAATGCTCCAATAGCATTTAGCTGGGAATATAAAAACTGTCCAGTTTCCAATTCCCTCTTCTCTGTTGGTAACTACAGTGCTATTATCCAGGACTGACACCTTTTATCATTACCTCTACCTCCCTTTAAGGGATAATGTTAAAAGGCACTGAAAGTAACTACAGAAAGCCAGTTTCTGGAAGTGAGACAAATACCATGTCTCTTGTGTGTAGGCAGGACAAGGAAATAGAGACTTCTGGATGTTCAGACTGGGTTTGCAAATATTTTCTCTCTGTGGAAACATTCTGGACAGGATTTTCCAATTTTTTTCAGGCGCTGAGTATGGCAATGGGGATATACAGAGAACTTTGAAAAAGGGTGATTTCTGTACGATTATATGTATTAATTAGTTTTTAAAAGAGAAGAAAGTTTAGATGTAGATCTTGACAATTTTATAAGATATATTTAGTAAGATAAATGCCATCCTGCCCTACTGTTTTCATCTCTCATAAAATATAAAACATTCTGATCCAATGGCAGTCATAAGAGATGAGGGAAGGATTTTTACTGATTGTGCAGCAACCTTTCAAGAATGCTGTGTAACCCCTGTGGGAGGTATCTGCTGAAGAATATGCTGTGACACCAGTGGGCTTTATCATAATGTGCCTGATTTTCCTGTCGTGCCAGTTTTTCACATTAACATAATAATGTAACTGTTGATAGAATGAGTCCAATAGGGCAGAATCAGGTCCAGTGTTTGTAATCAAAACTGATCTCAAAGGTATTAACAAATGATTTATGTTTGACTAGTAATATGAATCTACCTACATGTTTTCTACCCTTTTTGTATCCTTTCCTTACGTGTGTGTGTGTATGTTTCTAGGTTGGGCTGGGTTTGTTCATTACACTCAGCTAAGTCTGTGGTCTTGGGTGAGAAACATAATACTGATTGTTTTCCCTCCCGTTTGAAACACATGCAGAAAGAGATGGGCTCAACAGAAGACCTTTACCTCTCCACACGAAAGGTGAAAGAGCTGTCTGTGATTGATGGCCGGAGGGCCCAGAATTGTGTCATTCTCCTTTCCAAGTAAGTGTGCTAAGCCTTAGCTCACAGGGTATGCCATGGTCAATGTAGAGGCAAGAGGGGATGGAGTTAAACAAATAGACATGTTTCTTTTCCCAGCTAGACCTGACATCTAATACCTGCAGAGCTTCAGATAAACCTCTTTTATAGTGTCATGAAAGCACATGTCTCTCTGTCATGTTATCTCACTTAATAAAGATATCTGAACACACATTTTGTGCATCAAATGGGTAGACACCAGCATGTATCTGAAGACTCAGCAGCAGAAAAGTATCACTACTCATTGGTAGATGAAAGCAGCTCTTTGGCAGTGTTTGCACTTCACTCTAAGTGATGTGTCCCCCATGTTCTGTGTCTGTCATTTGAGTGTGTTCTGTGTGTTTCTAAATGTTGCTCTGAGCATCTCCATTGAGTACAGCAGACCTGAGGGTGATGCTCCTTCTTTTAATTTTTGAATTCCGGTGAGAACAGTGGTAAACATAGGCAGACATATTCAAAAATTTGGTTTTGGAAGTCAGGAATTGCCTCTGCATATTCCTGCAATGAGTAATGCGTTCAAATACAGTGACATCAGTGCCCTATATATCCTTTCATGATTTTCTACCAACATCAGTACTGGGCTGGATGTCTGTTGCTAACTGTCAATTTTGTGCAGTCACTGACCCACCTGAGAAAGTTGCCTTTTCTACCAGAGGATGGACAGCAAGGCTAGGGACAGAGCCTGGCAAAGCTATAACAGTGTAATAGGCAGTTTGTTTCATTGTTCAGTAGAAGATATGGGTTCATATGGATGTGATGCATGTCTGCTCTAGCAAGCTAACAGTTAAAAGCATAGTTGCAGCCAGACCACCAGGACTGAAGTGAGTTCTTTCCATTGCTTAGTGAAACCCACGGAGGCTCTCATTATGCTACTTATGTGGCATTAGCCTGCATGTCAGCAGGACCCCCACCATCCAAACCAGCAATGAGGGAAGGCTTAGATTTCTCTCTCTGCAGCAGTTGCCAACGCATGCCTTTGCTGTCATTGGCAGCTGACTGAGGCTGGGGCAGAGGAGTGGGAAGGCACAGGGGCAACAGGATTTTCATGCTGTTTGTCGGACCTACTGAACTGTGTCTGGGGTTCAGATTAACTCCTGTAAGCAGGTGGAACATTTCCTAGAAGTGGTAACATAATGTGTGCAGTTGGCTGGGCTGAGGAGGATCCAGGAAGGTGGTCTTTCACTTGGTATGCCACTAGATATTTACTTGTAAAACTTGTCTTTCTCCAAAACAAAAGCAGTGTGGATGGGAGCAATATGTGTTTTTCAACATTCACCTCTTCTGCTATGCAAGTCTGGGCAATTCTTACCTGAGAAGATTCCTCTCTAAACAGTGAGAGAGAAAGGATAGTGTCTGTGTTTTGTCTTTCCTTCTGCTGCCCCCAGCAGCAGTGTCATTGAAGCATGAACCTTGCACTTCAGGGTATACAGCATGTGTTCACTCCAGGTGTGCCATGAAGTCAGTCCACCTCAAGCTGCTAGTCTGGACTCAAACCAGAGATGAAAAGCTGTTTTCTGACTGTCAACTTCTCCACCAGGAAATATCCTGCTCTTATTATTAGAAGGTCTGACATGGCTGAGAGAGGTTTGGAGACTGGGCTGTCCCTAAGGAGCCTGCCAGTTTGTGTTGTGCCCTGTTAACTTTGCTGTGCTGTGCTATTGGCTTCACCAGTCGTGAGGGCTATCACTGGCATAGCTCACTTAATGTTTGCAACAAATAGTGTTACACCCAGAGTATCAGAAATATCTTACAGCTTGGCCCAGGGTTGGTATTCCTCCCCAAACTTCCCTTTCAAATGCAACCAGAAAAGCAAAAATATGTGGGAACTAAAATAGCACCTCTACATTCATGCCTTTTTTGCTCTTTGTGCTTATATGGTTATATTATTAAAGACAGCAATTGGGAGGACTGGCTGCAGACCATAATTGAAAGGATTTTATGACCCCTTAGCAGTTTTGTTCATTACCCCACTTCTTCCTCCTTTAGGTTAAACCCTGACCAAGAGATGCTCCCATCCCTGTCTGCTGCCATGTCCTTGCTGCTCCTGCAGCACACCTTGCACACATGTGCATGTGGGTGTGGACACGTGTGCAATGAGAGGGTATTTAAAACTGGTGACAAACAAAGCGAGTTTGTGCAACCCTGAGCTGCAGCCTCAGCTTTCAGGTTGCCACAGTATCTGCCAACAGCTGTTTCCAATTGACTCTTACTGTGCATATATCCCTGTAGTTTATTCCCCCTTTGTTTACACTAAACTGTCGTGTCCTTTAAAGTAAAATAGCTGCATGGGTTGGGTTTTCTTTCCCTCCCCTACTCAAATGTTTTTGTTTTACTAACACTGTGTTAGAAGGGGTCAGGCAGAGCTCATATTTCATATGGTCCAACAAGCCAAAACGTAGCAAGAATGAGAAATAGATGTCTCTTGCTTTCTTTTGCAGAGAGACTGGATCATGGTAGACTGAAAAGAGATGAAAATCGAATTGCTAGTTGATTTTTGCTGACAGTTAACAGATTTGTAAGCCTTCCTCCCCATTCTCATCTCTATTTCCATAAGAAAGCTCGGTTTTAACTACTCAGTAGTAGTATCTTTCAGTTCTCCTGCAGAGGAAGGATTGAATTGTCATCATTTGATAGAGCCTAGTGGATCTGAAAGAAATCTCTGTTCCATAGGCCAACTTTAAAGGTTTGCAAAGGCTTAAGATGAGTTTATGTCACAGTATTTCCCATAGGCCATAGTTCAACAGGGATATGGAGCCATCTGTCTCTGGTGATTTCAGGTGCCCACCAGCTGCAAATTTATCTTTCTTAATGGTGTTTCAAACACACAGTTGTTTTTGTCACACTGGAAATCTGCTTTCTCTCATGAATTTCCTGATGTCTTCAGTTTCCACAAGGCTGGAGATTTACTATCAGACTTGTGTGATCTGGAAGAGTCATCCCAGATCCCTGTGTTTCCCTGCTTTCACCTAGCTGTTAGAAATTTCTCTGACCTCTCCCACCAGTATGGCTTCTCCCTGCCTTCATTACTTAAGTAATGGGTAGTATTTTCACTGCCCTAGTGGTTTTGTTATACCATATCTTAACATGTTCTTGCAGAACATGCCCAATATATGTATTGCATACTGTCTTGCTCTATGAAGTACTCTGAAGAGAGTCAGTTCTATGAGATATCTTGCTTGGAAGAAGGCTGAATGTATACTTATGGAACGTTTTTGTGCAAGGCATTTTGCATGAATTCCAGCAAAATAATTGTGTCAGTGTTCTTCTGAGATGTGTTTGTTATTCCTGTGGCTCAACAAGTCAGCAATAACCTTTTCAAGAGACTGGAAACAGTAGGAGTGCTAGCAAAATGTCATAAAAGCAGTAATAGCAGAAGGCAGAATCTGACTACACAGTAATAGTTCTAAATATGAATATGACAGTAGATAGATACTAACAGGAAGCTTGACCAATTTTTTGTGGCTTTCGTGGTTGTGAATTCAAACATCAGTGAGGGAGAAGAAAAGGGACTCGGGTGGCATTTCCAACAAGAATACTAAAAAGATCAAGCCGTTCTCTCACATCACTGTACCTCCTCAGTGCTTTTAAGCCCTTTCAGTTGAGACATTAAGAGGACAAGCTATTCTGCCAATGTCAGTCTCCATGTACTGCCGCTGCACTGCCCCTAGTCCCTGTGTGCCTTTCAGTGTTCACCCTTGTTTCAGGGTGGATTCCAAGCACTGTGATATTCTGAGATACTGATCATATCTTGATACAGAAATAACTCATTGGACTCAGCAGTTCAGTTCCTCAGTGTGCTGTCTTGAAAAACACTGGGCAATAAGCAGTGCCTCCTGGGTTCCTGGGGAGATTTTCTGGTTTTAAGTTAAGGTCTGCAATAAATGGCTTTACCTGCTATTCTGAGTATGATACTCCAAGGCTAAACTGAACATGTTCGTCAATGCCATCCTGTCTTAGGCCACAAGTAGGAACCAGAAAGAAGGGTTGTGATAAAAGATAAACCACTGCCTCATCAATATCTCACTGTAATTTGGAAATTCCCAAATGTGGCCCTGTTTTGCTCCTCTTGGCTCAGAAAGATGGCTACCCCTAGATCGTTCTTGGAAGGAAATGGAGCATATTTGGATGCAAAGTGGCTTGGTCACTCATGAGCTTTTGATGAAGGAGGACAAGACAAGAAAAGAAAAGCCTGTTTTTTATGTGCTTGCCAGAATACTTTCACAGAGAAGTGCTGAAAAGGCACTGTAGATTTTTTTTTTTTTTCCAGCATGCTGATATAATGGTGTAAGATGTACCTGGTAAAATGTCCCAACTGTTGTCCCCCAAAAGCTAAAGCATGGCCATCTTGACTGACAAGATCAGTT